CTATTTTAGAATTCTCGAGAACGTTTGTAACCCCGCATGCTTTCTGGGATGTAGTTTATATGCATAATTTCACGATATTTTTTTCTTATATGTATAATATAAATACTCGTTGATAGATAATCCACTTGTAACTACCATTAGCAAAAGCTTAAATTACATTTGTTCGTTAAATGATAATGTATAATATTTTATATTTATGTACCTATATGTAATAAGCAGTTTATTAAAAATTATCGTTAATAATGTTTGTTAATAATCTAATAGGTAGGTATGTATTGAGAAAATTTGATTTGATGTCATCGACTCCATACGGGTAGAGAAATTCTAATAAAATTATTTCCAGGAAGCAAGAAAAAATATTTATTTTTTCAACATTTGACGAACTATAAAAATGTTGATTGTCATATATACTAAAATTTTTAATTATTAATGGTAAATTTATCTTCTTTGTTAAACACGATTCCGAAAATCATTTTAATTTTAAAAGGTCAATAGATGTTCAACGTACTTTCCTGTTTTCTACATTTCTTTGTATTTGTTATCTTAAATTAGTGAGTCAGGTACCTGTTCTACCATGTACCGTTAATTATAAATTACAACTTTAATACGTGTGCCACATATTGAAACGACCACAATTAATTATATATGTAGTAGTAATAACCGATTAAAAATTCAATAAATGAAATCAGGATAATGCAAATCCCTAATAACAATAACGCATGATCATAAAACGTATAACTTTATCAATTTCCTTGTCTTGTGATGATAACAAATTCAGATTACACATTCACATTAGTTTTTCTTATCTTTTTTTCTGCAGCATCTGCTATTTATTTTATCGATGTTTATACAGTTCTACCCACAACGTAGGTACAAAAATATATCCGACTGGATTTATTTTAAGACCTACTAGTTAAAAATAACAATTATTTTGTTTTTGACGTATGTTAAGTTCACGTTGACAAAAAATAAATAATTTTCGCGCTGTAATGTTTGTTGGAGATTTAATCGAAACTTTTCCTATAAAAGGAAATAAATATGAAGGAGTAAATTAAATATTTAGTTCATTGGATTCTTTTACAAGGTCGAAAAATTCAATATGTAGGTGCAGAATTTTATTTAGCTTGTAAAAGCATAAATTAAAATATTAATCAATAAAAATGTTACGTTATTGTAAAATATGCCCTCGCTTTTTTACAATGCAGCGAAATGAAAGATTTTATTCGGCAGCCTGTAAAAATAAATCAATCCATTGGGATAATAATAAATTCAATAATAATTATTATCAATTTTTTTATCAACCTTCAAGGTGAATATTGCTGTTTAAACTTGTGATATCTTATATTTTTACCTTGATGCATAAGGTGTATACCTAACCTGTTCCAAATTAATTGAAATGTGAATAGTTGACAGAATTTATATAGGTACGCGGAAAAATGTAATTCTAGATTATTACTTTTGTTTACTTTCTACATGATTTCGTAAGCATAAAAGACTACAATTTTATATAATTTCGCGATATTAGACATGCTTAAAAATTCAACTATTAATAAATTAATAATTATTATCAATTTAACTTTGCAAAATATATTTGATTGTCTGGTCACCTCTGACGTAACGTGCAACAATTAAACCAATTGAATAATTTACATAAAATACCGTCAACACTCAAGTAAGGTAATTTATCCGACTGAGTGATCGAGATCTTTGTCTTTTATCATGTGGCCTGTTAATTATTAATTTTAAATCGCTAAGTACCTTTCCAAACAGAATTAAATATATGTCGTTTAGTAGATTACGTCCGTAAACTATTACAATAGTTAATTCACACACCGCACTTCGCTTTTTATTTATTTTTTAAGCTGTCCGTTTTAGTTTTAATAGACAAAATATCGAGGTGCCTACCACGGCATACGGACGCAGACTACTCGATTTTTATTGAGGAAATTCCATTAACAACCGCGAGAGCGCAGTTGCCTTGATATTTTAAATTGCTGCTGTTTCAAATTCAAACACGCACTTTGTAGTAGACTTCGTGCCGCCATCTGTATACTAACTGATCTAACAACTTTCTTTTATAAAGAATTACAAGAATTTAAGGAATTCTCAAAAAGTCTACTAAAAAATGCATTGGTCATCACACGGATATTAAATCTGTGGTTTTCATGCTGAATTATTTTACGCAGGAATTGAGTAAAAACAAAAATCATTTTGTTTTAGATATTCACTTATTTAATGTCACTCCATTTCTAATACTGAAGCCAAAACTCTAAAATTAAAGTTTACTAGTAAATGTTGCTAAAACTGCTATGTTGCTTACCGTCCACTTTATGGTACGGCATAAGCGTCCGCAGACAAATTTCTAAGGGACAAATTTTTAGAATTTTTTAGATATTTCTAAAACCTTGTATCTCTGTCATGTATAATTTCAAAATTTTATAATTTTTTTCATAAAAGTTTTCAAATCAAGAGGTCAAATACACATTTATATATGCTCATATAATGAAGTTTTTTGTTTTTACAAAAATTACATCGTAGCCTACAGGTAAAATTCCATCCGGTTCAACCCGGACAGTGATCGTCGCTTTACATAACGTATCACCGATCCAACATGATCGATAACCATCGAAGCAACTTACAATGTAAATTGAAAATAATTAAATGAAACACCAAAATAGTTTGTACGGGATTAATAATTAAAATAAAATAATTATGTATTTCCTCCATTTAGTACCCCGCTACTGTTTTTGAAAATGACAATCACTTTTGATGAGCGGGTATATGTCCAACATAACTAACTAGTTTTCTGAGAGACCCCATAATGTGCGCATACTCACAATTTTTTGATATATCAATTTAATTTGTCGGAATTCATATTTATGTTGTTGTAAAAATGCAATTAATTCATAATGTTAAATCAAATGGACAAGATTGTGCTTGTTGATATTCGTCGTTTTCAATTTTTTTCAATATTATCGTTTAACTTTAATATATTTTAGTTCATGGTAGCTGCTTTTTTTGTTTAAATTCTCATACTTACTCTATAGTTGGCCTCAGTGACAGCGAATACATGAATACGATTGGCCAGTCGGGCTCAAGAAGGGGTTTCTTTGGTGCTTGAAACGAGGCGAGAAGTTCAATATTCTGCCCTAATTCAATGTATTTACTTAATGTACATTGCAACTGCATATCGTTTATGCGGTTAAAGTAGAACAGATATATCTTTGTGTCCTACAGAAGTCCGATTTCTGTCCTAATTCAATGTATTTAATGCACATTGCAACTGCATATCGTTCTCGATATAAAGTAACACTTATAATATATATCTTTCTGGCCTACATAGTACCGCTTCTACCTAACACGCTTTAATGCATTTGAAATAGGGAACGCTCCTGCATATCTGTAAACTCTATGTTATCACTTATCAGCGAACAAAAATGTGACAGCTCTTATTTCAATTGTTTTGATTGGACATTAATTATTACCAGTAAGTTGCCCGATGTAGTATATTTTTCTTTCCTATACCATAATTAGATCACGCATTACACACGAGCAGAATCAAAAACCTGCCGCGCCTGGATGGATTTTGTAATTGCCAGGTGGGTGTATCTCCTTTTCCCTTAGAATTACTATTATAAAGCCGTATTAAGCTGTATATTCAGTTTTATAATGGATACAATGTGTAATACCTTTAGAGTATGGCCATGAGCATCCGTAATGTAACAACAGACATACGTTGTATTAAGCCTTAGTCACAGCTGCGAAATGCGAATTTTTTTGTACGATTTCGAGGAAACTCGGTTTTAAAATATTCGTGGCGGGCGATCTCAACTTTAATGCGAATTCAAAATAAAAGGTAAAACCAAACGAACTTTTTTTGCGAATATTTTTCTCCCTCCACGATGGAAATTTCAAAAGAAACAACCTCACAGAACATTCTACTTAATCAGTAAAAAAAAATGAAAATCACCCTGTTTTCTTATCCATAAATAATGACAACTTGTATGCTTTTTTCTCTCCTTTGGAAGCCACTGTCTTATAAATTATTTAAAAAAATTGTTAAATAAACATTATAGGATGATACAAATAAATACAATACAATATTTGCATAATTTTCTTGTGAATTCGTTATACTTTGAAATTAAGTGTATTTCATCTGAATTGAAGGTTAGATCCAAGTAAATTTAGTAAATAAAACACCTTTAATTTTTTAAGTGAGAATGAAAGAAATTAATGAAAACGCGGAACTACGAATTCCGCAGAAGAATCCGCATTTCGCAGCTGTATGTATGAGCCTTTATGCGGCGATCTATTACTTTAAATTTCTTATCATTTTACAGTATGCATAGTATAAAGATCCGTTAGGTTCATGTAGTTTATAAATCCATCTTTCCATTAAGCGCATTTAACAAATTAGATTTTAACTTGTCTAATGGTATTGTTGATTTGTCTTATCGCGATAAGTAGTATCTGAAATTGTGAAAGGCGAATAAAAATCTTATTTTTCTTATCTGTCGAGTATTTTTTAGTCAGTTGTGATATTATTTCAATGCGTTTCTTAAAATTAAGTAAATATTTTAGCAATCAAAATCTTGTACATAATTTTAAAATTAGAAAATATCGTATATAATTTTTGTTAAGGAATATTATTTGTAGGTATAAATAAACCATCACATAAAAGTCAAGATAAAAATACACTATACAAATAGCAATATCCCATGTGGTTCTCATGCTCGCAACGTGATCCGATGTAAACCTGTTGCATTATGCAAATGTCAAATATATAATAAAATTTAATAAATATTGCTGAATTATTATTATTACACGAACGTGTTAATTACCCACTTGCACAATAATTTTTTTACGTGATTTTTAATTCAACCTACATTCAATACAAAATAATAACTGGGTTTTCTTAAATGTTATGGTTTTTAAATGTTTTTATCACTTAGGTAATTTAAATTAAATCCTGGGAATATTGAAATTATTATACAATAAATGACTTCGTGGTCGAATGGTAAGGACATTTACCTCTCACCATAGAGCCCCGGGTTCAATCCTCGGTCGAGGAGCTAGGCATTTTTCTAAACCAAAACTTAATCCTAGCTCCTAGCATACTCGGACATTGGGTGTGTGTCCATTGTCTGTAAATGTGTAGCCCTCTCCCACACAAATGTACCTATAGGTTTTCCGGCGAATATGTATGGTTAATGTAGAAAGAAATTTAATAATTAGGCGTTCTGCCTAGTTTAACCGGTAAATGTGCACAGTTATTTATGCGCTTTTGAGAAACGTAAAAATGTTATACATTTTATGATATAACTAATTTTTCTTGCCCTAAAATGTCCTTTTTTGTAATTTTTAATGCCGGGTCACAGTTCAAGATTAGTGATCAAAAATGAAAGGGAAATGGAATGGAATAATGACATTTTAACGGTCATTTTAGACTTTTCAAAAATAAAAAATTAACCTCAAATTTCTTTCCAATTTATATAATATTATAGTAAAATTTATTATTTTAGTATATTATGTTTACATTAAGTTAAAATTATTTTAATATTTAATTTCAATATTGTTTATTATTTAACTTTTTAATAAAGTCCCCAAATAACTTCACACTAAAAAAAATTAATAGAAATATGTTCACATAAAATATAATATTTATTATTTATTATAAATATTATATTTACGTATATTAATTAAAGTTGGGAAAGTTTTATAGTTTTCTTTAAAGGGTTGATGCCTTTGTTGTTGATTATACTATTTTAAAGTTTTTGTTATAAATTCCCATTTACTAAGAATTATTACATATGAAAAAATAATTATTTAATTTATATTTATACATTTATTATAATTAGATATTTTTATGATTTTATATTAAATATTATTTTATATATTATGAATTTATTTTAGTTACTTTATGTTTATTTTATAAAGTTTGATTTTTTATATCAAATATTTACCTTAAAGGAAGAAAGCCATTTATAAAAACTTTATAATCAATCATTAAATTTATTTAATTTACTAGTTTAAAAATATAATATAATAGTTTTAAATATTTATTTTTTTGTAAATTTTTAAGATTTATTTTTAAGGAAAAGTTAATAATTATTTTTTAATTTTTTGTAAATTGACACATGTTCTAATAATATGTTTTATTTATTCCTTTCTTAAATAATAGTTAACCTTTAAAATTCAATATAATATTAATCTGTTAAACTAATATTCATCCTAAAATTTTAATAAAATTCTAAATTTTATTTAATAAAATTTTAATTTCTTTTGTGAATTTATATTTAATTTCATTTTTTGATATTTATATTTAATTAGAAATTAAAAAGTAATTCTTGGATAAGGATTAGTTCCGTGGATTTTTATTTGGATGACCAAATTCATCTTAATTTAACGTGATATGCGCTCCACAATTTTGAGTAACGTTTCATTTCATCGTAGACTATGTATTAGGAAATAGTTCCATACCAGACAGAAAACGTTAACTTCAAACAGCACCTTTCCATCACAGAGCTCCTAGTTCAATTATTTTATTTTATTGTGTTCGTAAAGTTTCACCCACTTTTAATAAATTTTTGTAATATATTTGTGGTAATTTTAAATTCCATTTTGTTATACTTTCTGTTGGTTTAATAAATAATTAATTTTATTAATTCATTTTTTATTTGTCTCTACCTTAAAAAATTTTAATTTAGAAAAAAACAAAACTAATAAAATATATTTTTTTATATTACTATTCATCCTCACATTGGTAGAATTATTTAATAATAATATAACCAAGGTTAAAAACAAAAACCCCTCCCAAAAAAAATACAAAAAATTTCTATTTCCCAAAAAATATTATGAATAAAAAGGTATAATATATTTGGTTTTAAAATTAAAAAAAAACACGGGTTTTAGACAACAACTGGACGGGGGTTAGGTGCACCTTCATGTCATAATAGAACAAAACTTTGTACTTTTACCGCGGCTTGCTGGTTAATGTACATATTTCTACATTTACCAACTAAGTAGGAAAATGTGTACCTACATTTACCGGATACGCATATACGGTTCCTTTGCTCATCATGTTATTTTCGATCACTGGTCTTAAACTGTGACCTTCATAACATTCAAAATTACAAAAATGGACATTTTAAGTCAAGGAAAACCAAAAAAAAGATATATTCCAATACTACTTAATGTAATATGTATGTATAATAAAATCGAAATTATTAAATATCTAACGTTATTTTATTAACTTGTATAAAGGGAAGTGGTAAAAAATGCTATTTTAATCTTATGCACTCGTAGTGCTGTTTCAAAAATTTTTGAAATACGCTAAGAAATGTGTTGAAATTTTCGAAACGAATTATCGTACAACAAAAATTATTTAAAATTATTGAAAAATTCTTTCGTTTTAAATATATTTAATGTTATTATTTATAATTAATAAATAATTTAGTCGACTCACTGCAAATAATGACCTACTTTCATTGGTATAAATTAATTGAAACAAAGACTTGTTACGTTTAAAAAATTATACTATGATTCATAATTTTACCTCTAAAGTTTGTAAAAAGGTGCAGTATCTTCAAAATCTAACAATGAATCAGCAAACCAGTCTTAATTTTGAGTTACGGTTCACTGTTCGATAAACAAACAACAAATAACGGTTTCTGCAAGTTAACTATGTGTTCAAATCAAATTCACATATGTACTTATTCTTAGAAAATTATAACAGCATAACAGCCTATGAATTTTAAATGCTGTAATTTAATAGTAAAAGTAAAATGTTCTGACAATTTAATTAAGTAGGTAGGTATGTATAATATTAAATTTTGCACATTTTAATTAAAAATTGAAGATATTTGTTGAATTAAGGGACATTTACAACCAATTCGGTAGGGACACATTCTGCTAGTCGACTGCAAATTGGGTTTTAAGCATATTTGATTGAATGCATTTGTTTACAATAAAATTTTAAGTCGACACGACCTTGAATTGCACCTCAGGTTTGATTTGGATGCTTGCAAATCACAAATATTCACTTCAATTGCGGCACGAAATTCAAATTGCGCATGCGTAAACGACACAAATATATTGTTTATATTCAAACGGCTTGTGATTTGAAATTGAAAGGTTAGATAGGACTTTTGGTATTAGAAAATATGATGTTTTTAAAAGTTACGTTAAATAATTGTAATTTAATGATTTAATCAGACTGAATTTGCACACACGTAATATTAAAAATTCTCTACTCTAACTCATTATAAATGAGTTAAGGTACATTACAACCAATTCGCTACAGGCACAATTTACTAACGGATTGTGAATTGTGCCAGATAAAATTTAGGTCATTTATAATGAGTTAGAAGCTGCCATCTGTTGAGATTTTTTAATATTACGTGTGTGCAAATTCAGTTTGATTAAATAATTACAATTATTTAACATAACTTCTAAAAATCATCATATTTTCTAATACCAAAAGATCTAATCTTACAATTTTAAATCACAAACCGACTTTAAATAAAAACAATAAATTTGTGTCGAAGTACGCATGCGCAATTTGAAATTCGTGCCCCAATTGAATTGAATATTTGCGATTTGCAAGCATCCAATTCAAACCTGAAGTGCAGTTCAAGGTCGTGCCGACTTAAAATTTTATTGTAAATAAATACATTCAACCAGATATGCTTAAAACCCAATTTACAATCCACCAGCAGATTGTGCCCTACCGAATTGGTTGTAAATTCTACCCTTTAAACGACCTAAATTTTATCTCGGAACAATTCACAATCCGTAAGTAAATTGTGTCTGTAGCGAATTGGTTGTAAATGTACCTTTACTGTAGTAACTTCAATTCCCACAAGGTATTCTTGGAAACATCAGATTAAAATATTTTAAATGTCCGTAACGGACTTTTATCGTTTAAGTATGACGATTTATGAAGTTATTTGGTTAACAAGAACATTTTCATTAAAATGAGATAAGTAAAAATGTTTTCCGTGAACGATATTCATTATTAGTCCATTATAAATTATTTCAAGATTTTGCAAATGGCCTTTATTTTATAGACTATTCTTAACGTGTGGCAAATTATAGGTGTATTTTTTCGAACTGATTTAACTCAACAAACTGAAAATAGTGACTGTAGTCTATAGTGTGCCTTATTAGAAAATGCAATAAATATAAGTTAATTTGCTAGAATTAGTAGAATTATTTAAATCAGTTCGAAAAATACACCTTATCGATATAGACGACATAAATTATGGAATATGTTTTATATCGATATACTTTTGCCTGATCATTAAAGTAAAATTTATTTCAAACTTATTTACAAAAAAAAACGTCGGATTCTTTGACAGCGGTAAATAGATCAAAGAGCCGACTTTTTTTATGTTGCAAATAAGTTTGAAATAAGCTATACCTAGTATAATAAATAGTCTAATATATTCAAACACTGAATATTTTTTATCAGTTTAAAGTGCCAAAACCCATAACCTAATTTGTCTAAACATTTCAACAATAAGTAAATTAGCCGGACAGGCGCCAGATGCAAAAACTGCACCGAAATGACAACATCCCCAGTCAAATAATTAAAAAGTTTGTATATGTGTACATGTAGGTATGTATGTATATGTATGTCAACCTTTTATTGAGCCGTCACTTTTGTCATATTTAAAAATTAATAGCCTAGTTTACTAGATTTGAAAATTCTCTAGTCTACATTCAAAAAACATGATTAAGTTCCCCTTAACTGTTTTTCCTCAAATTTTAAATGTTTGCCCAAAAATTTCAAATGGATCTTTACCATTGAAATTTGTATTTCGCCTTTTTAAATGATTATGTAGGTATCCTTTATGGAAAAGTAATTGCTAATTTTGAAACATTGTAACATTTCTTATATCTAACATTCATATTCGGCTATACGTCATCTTGAGCACAAAAGGGATCTGTGCTTTGAATTTTGCTTTTTTTTTTCGCTGCAAAACCCCAAAATACTGATAAAAGACAAGAAGACCATTGTCAATGATCAGAGATTTAATTTTAAAGTCTTTCTTACCTCCAAAGATTTTGTCAATAGT